CCCCCCCCCCCCCCCATGGGATTGACATATCCCTATCCCTTTACTCCATCATCTACAAGGGATTAGGAAGCTGCAGATCATGTGTCAGTGATTTGGCTTGACTTCACGTGGTCTCATGACTCTCATCCACCACTACTGTTGTTGTTTTGTTCAATCGTTGTTGTACCAAATGCATGGACGACTCTATCTCGCATCGAATAATTTTGGAGTTGGATGTGTGTGTATACCGTTTCTTTCAAAAAAAAAAAAAATATATGAACCACTCTACTTTCCGAAACAAAATGTATGGACCCTCATGTCTGCTCCATAGGTGCATTATGAGGGTATTACCGTCCTGATTCAAATGAATATGTTGCCAATACACCATAAGCAAGGTAATTTAATTATTTGCAGGTTGATTCAATCACGTTTCGATTGGAATATTATATCTGATTATCTCTCTTTTACACCATTTTTGGTCGGTTTAAAAAAATAAAAAAAGGAACATTCGTCCACCCCTATAGATTATGCCAAACACTAACCTCATCGATGAAGACAATATGGGTATGAAACATAGTTCGAAGTGTAAATCGATACAAATGTAATTTGGTAAATCACATTTTTCGTAAATCACGAGTCCCAAACAATTGGACCAAATTAAGTGAAATGCCTTCGAATAAGCCTATGTCACGTCATTGAATTGGTCATTGAGTCGGTCAAAACTATTCTGTAATTCTGCGGTATAAATCTACTACCGATAATATTGGAGAGGTGACAATTGTTATTTACCTAAATTTTGTCTGAAGTAAGAGTGAAAACCTACCAAATTAAATCGAAAGATTGTTGTGAGCATTTTCCAAGCTAGGACTGTTATTTCAAACATTCTGGAAGTCAAAGAACTGTCTTTATTGTTCACACAGATAGAAAAGGCTTGTAAAGCCTGAAAAACAAAGACTAAAGGGGCATTCTTCTTCAGAAGTCATACAAGAACTTCTGGAATAGTGGCATGTGGCCGGCGTCTAAGCAAACGGCCAACGACAAGCTCCTATCAGTCGTAGGGCTCGGTATTATGTATACCGTGCCCTCATATAGGATGGTTGCCGGTCCCATGAAAATGGGTCTTCCCCACCCGAAGTCTGCATCATACACGGGCAGACGAGTCCAACTGTTGATGTTGAGATTAGGGCTAGCGAAATACTGCGGCCCTCTAACGAGAGCTGCTAGATCAGGCTGCACCTCGAGGTAGTCGAGAGCTGATCTCGAGTATTCATTGTCCATCTTTGTCAAGGCATTGTGAATTCTCTTGGCAGAGGTTGATAATGGCTCGGATTGAAGATCACCGGAGAGGGCAATGGGCGTGGCAGTGAAGATCACATTGCCTAGGTAGCCTGGTGGGAGTGGTGGACACAACCTGGACCGCCCATCCGTGGCCGTGAACAGCTTGGTCATTTGCTGTTCCGAGAGGCCCCGTGCCTTGCAGGCGCAGCGCCATATGTGTGCTGCTAGAATAGCATAGCTGCTGTAGTCTTTTGTGTTTGCATCAGTTCTGGACTTGGCTTTGAGTTTGTTGAGCTGATCAAGTGTGATATTGAGGATGGCTGTCGTAACGGCCTTAGGACCTGATTGTAATTCTGGGGTTTCGATTGGGGTGGTTAGGGAAGGCGGTGGGTGGTATTCGAGGTGGTCGAAGGAAGGGCAGGGCGGATTCCGAGCACAGAGAAGGGTCCGGTCAATGAACGGTGGGATAGCGATGGAGAGGCCGCGTGCTATGTCGGACCATGTGTTGATGAAATGGAGGGAGGAAGCACCATCAGAGAGAGTATGGTGCACCCCTGTTCCTATAGAGACACCTCCACACTTGAAGTACGTTACCTAAGCAAAGAATACAAGTGATGAATGCAATTAGGAAGATACAAGAAAGATCAAACAGAGGTAGAATAAGCACATTCCCTGTCATATTAAGTCGGTTAACGTTATTAGTAGAGATATTAAATTTGTTCCATTGTCATATTAGATCTAAAAAACTTATTCTTGGTAACCTCTCAACCCAAACTTACGAGAATAATACTTACTAGGGAAGTTTGAATGAAATCTTGATTTGTAGTTTTAATTCTTGATAATTACGTGTATTTACAGTTGACACTCTAAACATGAGACCAAAAACAAACTAGGTCGGAATGATTCTCCAACTTGGGTTTGAATACACTACCATACTTTCATAATGTTTTTGACCGGTTATTCGCTACTAAATTTACTAAATTTAAGTGGGACTTGTTTGCTAGTATGACCCTTAACTCATTATTAAGAGGGCTTGAGTTTAGATTTATGCTTCGTTTGGTAAGATGAAAAATTAGGAGAATAAAAAGTTAAAAAGATAAATAAAATATCATGTTTTGTAAGAAAGAAAAGTAGGAAGGATGAAATAGTAGATGAATTAACTTTCCTTCCACCTCACCAAAATCAATCCCTCCAAAATCGAAAAAAAAGTGAATGAAAAGTTAATTATTTGTATTGAGATGTATTTTATGTCTTTATTTTTTTTTATATATACATATATTATGTATACATTAATTTCATATAAAAATACAATGGTAAAATATGTATATGTATATATATATATATTAAAAAAATTTAAAAATAAAATTAAAAAAATAATAAAATAAAAATAAAAATTTTAAATTAAAAAATATATATTCTTTCCATCTAAATTAATGGTGAAAATTTTCGACTCAATATAATGACACGACTCGAACTAGATACGAAAATAAATAAGTCAACTCGTAACTTGACACAACACGACACAATTAGTTAAATTAAGTTTGACTAATATTCGANAAAAAAATTTTTAAAATTTATTTTTTTTTTTTTTGTTGGGGGGGGGGGGGGGGGGGGTTTAGCAGTGGAGGGTGTCTGAACCATCTATGGCCTTGGTCAAAATATTACTACGAATTCAAAATATCGGCGATTAGCTAATTAGATTGAACACAGATTGAAAAACTTGATGCAAAACGTCTTTATTTTTTTTTTTGGGTGAGGAAAACGACTTTATTCCAATAAGCTAAATGAAAAGGTGAAGAAATTTTCCCCAAAAGAAAAGGAAAAGAGTGGAGAAAAGCTACCTGTAAGATCACCAGAGGATAGGAAGAGATGTCGCCGGAGTAATCAACCGCCGGAATAAGCCGCCGGAGCTCCAAGCTCGGCGTGAAGTCACCAAGGTCATCAATAGCGGAATCCGATTCAGCCTCCACAAACAACACCCCCTGTCCATTACAATTTACCTCAATACGACCCTTGTCGTCTCTCCCAAGCCTCCCAGCCATCGGGTAGAAGGAGACAAGAACATTGCTCAGAGCCTTCTTCAACACACGAGCATCGAAGAAATTCACAGACCCATTCGGTCTGTAAAAGTACACAGTCAGTAAGTGGATTCTTCCCACAAGTAAGTCCAAGTTTGAGTTCCATAGCTTCTGGGTGGGTGTGGACTTTGCAGGGGTCACCGTGGTTGAGTCCTTGACATGGATTTTGAGCTTCTCAGCAGTTACCATGGCGGCTGGATAGGATGAAAAAGGGACCCTTTTTGTCCTGGGTTTTTTCAGAGCTCTCTTCGAAGAGACAGAGAGAGAGAGAGAGAGAGAGAGAGAGAGAGATAGGAATATGGGTGATTATAAGTAGTGTTTGTAGGACACAGAAGGTGTGTGCAGTGAAATTAATGGAGATTGAAGAGGTATTTAGCTTGAGGCCAGTGCAGAGAAAGTGGTGCCTAAAGGGTGGGAAACGATGACTTGTGTGTGTGTTAGAGAGAGAGAGAGAGAGAGAGAGAGAGACTCTGGAGGAAATTTCAATGACTTGTGATTTGTGCGGGCTGTAGATATAATATTTCAAAGAATAAAATAATAAAATTAAAATATTATTTATTTAAATAAAATAAATTCTCTATTTTGGGACTTCCAATATAATTAATCATAATATTTATGATCAATTTTAATATTATGATTGATCATAAATAATCTCATTAATTAGTGATATTATGATAACTAATTATAATATTTTGAACTATGATTTAAATTTTCTAAAATTATCATATAATTTTTAAATATTATAAATTTTATTACAGCATAAAAGAAGATATTATTGTCATAATTAAAAAAATCATAAAATTTCAGTTACACCCCTTTTAATTTACTGTACCTTAAAAGATATCTTCTTTATTATTTAAAACATCATTAACACTCTTTCTAATTTAATAAAATTATATTTTAATTAATATATTTTATTTAATAGGAGGTGTATTCAAAAAAATAAAAAAAATAATTTTAAAGATATAATAAATTAAAAAAAGTGTGATTAAAATTTTTCCTTAAAAAATAATACGAGATAACAACAGATAGGAGTGTCATTTTTAATCATGTTATTTTCATGTTGTATCATTTTCGGTACGTGACGGGTTCGTGTTAATATTCGTGTTAATAAAAAATTATTTAATTTGACAATAACTAATATAATATTATTTAAAAAATTATAAAATTCTTATTTTTTATCTACAATACTCATTAAATAGTTATTTTTTATCTATTATACTCATTAATCGTATTATTTGTGTCAAATTTTAATATGACCTATTTATTATTTATGTCAATTAATTATATTATTTTTGAATTCTTGTCGAATTCGTGTTCGAATCAAAAATTGAGACTCCTGACAACAGCAGCCCTTGTTTTGTATGATTGCATAAATTCTAAATTAAATTAGCAAAGCACATCAATGGTCAATGAGAAGATCACATGGTGCGCATCCGGTAACAGCCTGTAAGTGTAATCTTCAATACCAACCTCTCATGTCATCATCATTATTTTATTTAAGTCCACATGAATTAATTAATATATATACTTTCATCCACCTTGTCAACTACTCTTTTTACCTTCCCTTCTTTTTGGAGAAAAATTGGAGAAGCAAACTGACAGTTAGGTGAGAGTAGTAATCTTTTAGAGTACCTCGGGGCTAGTAAAAATAATAATAAGAATTAATATGAAATTTAGACGTTTTAAATTTAAAATATTAATAATTATTTAAAATTAAATTATAAAAAAATTATTTTTTATGAGTATTTTAATTTTAGTGTAAATGATCTATTTTTAATTAAATTAAAAAAAATTAATTAAAATACGTATAAACTGATCTGAACAAATTTATTGTAGGGTCTGATCAGACTACTAAAATATTATTGTTTTAGTGTCATATTTTTATTTTTTATTCAATGGAAACTTAGCATGTGTACAAAATTTTTATTTTTTATTATTTTTATTTAATGATTATAAATCATGAAAATTAAAATTAAAGGTTAGATTTGCATTTTGGCACCATACCAAAATTATATATTAGGATTTCGAATAAAAAAATTTGTGCATACATAGGTCTTTTTTAGTACAAATGATTGATTTAACGGTGGAAAATTTTAGTATCCAAGGAAATCATCATCCCTTATCTTGGGGACATGCACTACAGAATCTCTCCATTTATTTTATTTTTTTTGGGTCCTTTCCGTTCAAGGGATAAAAAAATAAAAGAGATAAAAAAGTAAGAGTAATAGATTTTTCATTCTTGAAAACAAAACAATTTCTCTCTTTTTTTTATTTGGTAAGATAGATAAAAAATTAGATATATTATATTTTTATTGTTTGGTATTGGAAAAAAATGAAAGGAAAGAAAAGATAAACAAACTTAACTTACCATTACACCATTACACAAAAAACTAATTTTTTTTATTGCAAAATAAACTTGTAAAGATTTAAAATCGTTCAAAGAGAAATGCAATTTGTTTCAAGCAACTCAAATGACTTGACGAGTCCTATTATGAAAATTTTATTTTTTGGTAGGGTATATTTAGTTTTTATTTAATAAAAATATGATATGTTTTAATTTTTTATTATTTATTGTTTATTTTATAATTTTTCAATCAATAATTATAAATCATCAAACTCCCCAAAAATGGTTGTTATATCCTTAATGCTCTGTTTTGGTAGAAAAGATGAAAAATTAGAAAGATAAGAAAGTGTGCGGAATAAATTTTTCATCCTTGAAGGACAAAAAAAAAAANAGGATGAAAAATTAGAAAGATAAAAAAGTGTGAGGAATAAATTTTTCATCCTTGAAGGACAAAAAAATATTTTTTCTCTTTTGTATTTGGTACGATGGATAGAAAGTTGGGAGACTTAGGCTCCGTTTGGTAACGTTTTCAATTTTTGATTTTTTTAAAAAATAAAAAGTAAAATGGTTTTCGGTTTTCAATTTATAAAAAATGAAAACCGAAAACCTGTTTGGTTATATTTTCTGTTATAAAAAAAATGAAAACAGAAACAAAAAATTTGTTTGATAAACAATTCTAAATTATTTTATGAATAACTTACTTACACTATACACTTCATGCTAGTTTAACTGTAAAAATAACAGAATATAACAATAACATATAAGGTATAACATAATTCATCAACATCCATACTACAAATATATCTCATAATTTACAAACATCCAAGATAACAATCCATATACACCAAAAACTATATGTCTCAATGTCTAACACTTGCCCACAACTCATTGGCAATGCAATCTCGCACACGAGCCATTTGATGAATCTGAGTTTGACTGATATCTACTGCAATTGGGTTCTGTGAAGTCTATCTTGCATTATCATCCACCTTTTCTTCATTACTGAACTCATCAAATAATTGATCCTGAGCAACGTGCATTCTAATGAAATTGTGAACTGTACAACAACCTGCTGGAATGTATTTTTGTGTTCTTATAGGGTAAGGGGGGCATTTGTTTAAGAATGGAAAACTAAGCCTTTAGCACTCTAAAGCAACACTCAATGACATTTTAGAAGTGATGAGTGGCAATAATTGAATAGCTCTATCTTACTTCTTGGACGTCGGTTACTACCTCAATAGTCACGTAAATGATATCTCTCACCATGATACGATGACAAAAACCCAGACATGTTTGTATATCCCGCATCAACAACATAATACTTATCTAACAAATGGTACACATACAAAGTAAGTGATAAATTATAAATTTTACAGATGGAAAGAAAGGTTACAACGAAGAATATTACCTCCTTCAGGCATTGAGAAATTATTTTCTAGATTGTTAATGGACTCAATAAATACTCTCGAGTCATTAGCAGTTCCTTCTCAACCACTCATAACAAATGTGAATCGCATGTCAAACGAACATGCACATGATGAAACGAGAGAGACGATGAGATGAGGCTTTAAATAATTTTGTTTGAGGGTTTTTTGGTAGAAGGCTTTATTTGTTCTTAACAAGAGTTGATGGTGTGATCTCATTAACTTGAATTTTGCTCGTTTTCATTTTTTTTGGAAAACGACTTTTTGTCATTTCCAAAAATGGAGGCAAGTTTGAAACCGATTTTAGTTTTAAAAAAACCTAAAATAGTTACCAAACGAAATTAAGTTTCTGCTTTTCTAAAAAATTGAAAACAAAAACAGAAAAATTGAAAATCAAACCGTTACCAAACGAAACCTTAATTTTCTATTGTTTGGTATTAGAGAATAAGTGAAAGGAAAGAAAATATAAATGTACTTAATTTACCATTATACCCATACAAATAAAATTATTTTTTTAGGAAAAATTCTTTTTTAAGATTTTTAAATGTTCAATTTTGCTTTAGTTAGTTATAAAAATAAAGTAATATATATATATATATATATAATAAAGTAGAGATTAATTTGAATTCAGAGACAAGAAGATGTTCAAATCGTTTTGAGACAAAACATAAATATATCCAACGGACAATATAATCTTAACATAAAAGACGATTTAGATCGTTTTGATGATAATTGATCCGACGATCATAATTGATCCTTAAATTTCATTTCCAGCCCAATATTTAAAATAGAGTTTGATTCTATTTCCAATTCTAAAGTTATATCTCTCACACATCTCTATCTCTTTCTCTCTTAGACTCGTCTCTCTGTCACACACAAATTCCGCTTAACAATTTCAAAGAGATTTCTCATTTTAGGACTCCGAACGACTTATCTCACGTGAAATACATCTCCCCCATACGTACGTCTCTCTCTATCTCTCAAACCCTACATCTCCCATGTCTGTCTCTCATGTGCATTTTGTCCTAAGATATTACATGTTAGAGTTTTGTCATGTTTTTTTTTTTCTGAATTTCATTGTGTAATTGAGTTCGCTTACATGTTTGACTATTTTTTTTTCTCATTGCAGTACATATATCTTGGGTTGTTGTTGGGTTCCTATTGCAAAGTAAACTTGAAGCCTCTTTGTCTATTCACTTGTTTTTCTTTTCATCTAAAAAATTTTCGATTTGGGTGTAGAGGGAGCATTGAGAGAGGGTGTTATCACCACTTACCCACTGGAGTGGGTTTTCATTTGTGTTCACGCAAATTGTTGGCAGTTGAAGTTATGGGACCTGATGGCAATATCGATTTGGAGTTACTAAGCACTCTCTATAGAATTTGACAATCCACATTGATTTACTTTGTTGTGAGCCTCAATGTCGCTCTCTACTCTTCTCTAATGCTCATTTGTTGGATATCTTTATTTTCTATTTTCCGTTAGTCTTGATTTGGCTGTAGTTTAATTGTTAGTGGTTTAAATGTCCATTATATTTAGACACTCATTGTGAGATCATTTATTTAATCATTTTTGTGTTTTTTTTTCAACTGGGTTGAGTTACACAAAGCTGCCAAGGAAGCAGTTTGAGTGGAAGTCATGGGTGAAGAATATTAATGATCTTAAGCGTAGGAAAGGTAGGTTGCGCAAGAGG